GACACAAATGTCGCGACAATCGAAACACTTCAAGAACGGATGACCTTTGTTGGCTTTGCTTCACCTTAGAACACCCAAACAGCCGACTGTCTTTTGTGTTTATGGTTCTGTACACATTTTCTGAGTTTCCGGAATTGAAACGATCAAGCGTTTTTTGACACCAATTAACCCTGGCTGCTTTCTGCTCTTCAGTCAACAGGTGGGGTATCCAACGAGAAACTAATTTTCTTACTCCTAATTCTTCATGTAAAATTTTTTGAATTGAGGTCTTTGAGATCTTCAAGGACGCCTCAATCTCGCGATATGTCACATGTCTATCTTCAATGATGAGTTTGGGCACAAATTGTCGACTGATGTGGCGCTTCGTTGCCGAAAACAGACAGTAACTCAGCAAGGCATTCTTGTTGCGATAATTGTCTCTGAAAGTTGTAATAAATTATGGCGCAAAAATGTTCTCGGTTGAGTTCCATTTTTCTAATGACTTGGTGACACTTAAAAATTCACTGTAGTGAGAACACTGCACGTATTGTTGTGAAACTTTTAATTTAAGTTTACTAAAGAGTGAGGTTAAGATTCAGTACTGACGTTCGATCTGCGCGGCCTACTATGTTTCTATATGCAAAGCTTAAAAGACATCCCTCGTATAATGTTTTCCATGCTATTTTTGTGTAGCAAAAAAGTGCTATCGCATAAAGGTTTATTTACTTTATTGTAATCGCCAAAAAAATAGAAGGTGGGATATTGTGTCTATCAGTAAATAATTGGTAAGTACTGTTCCCATTTGGACGAGAAAAAAAAAACTTGCAACTTATATGTCCTGAAAGTCTTTCTGTGGAATATTCCAGAATGAAAACGTTTCACGCAAAAGCATTTATCGATAATAGCGGAGCGCGAGCAGGGAATACCATGTCTGAATCTCCCAAAAAGTGGAAGTCCACGTGCATTTACTGCCCAGAGATCAGAGAGATTGATGAGCAGAACAAAAAATCAAGGAGACTGGCTCGCCAATACAGATATTCTGAGAGTAAGATATCGTTGGAATTGAGAAGGAATGGTGTTAAATATCGAAAGAGACTGAAGTGCACCAAATACTCTCAAGCGCAACTCCATCGTATACCAACATGCTGTCATCAACTCAGGCGGGTACACTTTGCTAATGGAAAAATCATTATTTTAGATGACGAAAAGTATTTCCCTTTGAGTAATTCTGAAATTAAGGAAACGACAATGTTAGATACAAACATAAATCGAAATCTGTAGATAAAATTCTTGTCTGGTGCGCAATTTCCAACAGGGGTGTATCCCATCCTTTTGTGGGAAGAGTGAGTGCTGAAGCTGTGGATAGTCAGAGCTATATTGATAACTGCCTTTCCAAATTGCTTCAGTTTGTCCACAAACATCATGCTAATGACCATATCATGTTTTGCCCAAACCCAGCATCATTACCCAAGAGATATCCAAAACTTTTGGGGCTTTACTGCCTAGGAACGTTTATCATGGAGGCTGGCAAGCCCAAGATGAAGAACGATCAAGACGGCGAATTTTCGAAAAACAGAGAAATTGATCTGAATTTCGTTCAGGACCTCAGAATGGGTCACTCCGCATAATTCGATCGTATAGTTCAGTTAAGAATTGAGTTGTAATTTATGATAACTAGTTAGTGCTTAGTAAATTTCTTCATTAAAAAAAATTCGATAAAATTTTGTCTTAAAAATTTCAGGACGTACGTTATTGTTGGCCCATATCTATCAATAACTCATGCTTGAGGAATATCTAGGTTCCGTAGGGGATTTAAGACTTGATTGCCATGGTGAAAACTACTTCTATGCAGAATTTTAGCTTATTTAGCCGAAAACCATTTTCCATAAGACTGCTGGGTTCTTTTGGCGTGGTACGCGATGCATAAAATGTTCAATTTCACTGGACAACAAATTTTAGTTTTTTAATTGTATCTTGTGGGAAAAGTGCACTACTTTGTTAATTTTGGGGCGCTGAATCCAAAAATGACAATGAAATAAAAAAATTAGTTGCGGATTAGAAAAAAACTTTTTATTTTTAAGGATTTATTAAAAAAAGTAACAAGATTCATATACTTATAAGAATCACTATATGCGCTGTCTTTTTGCTGTTCTTTTATGGATCGTTTCTGGAGCATCTCTACCAAGAGTCCAACAGTAGTCTGCAAGCATGGAAGGATTCCACTTTCCCTGGTACCTTTTTTCCATTGTTGAAATATCCTGATGAAAACGTTCGCCGTGCTCATCACTTACGGCTCCGCAATTGCCAGGAAAAAAGTCCAGGTGTGAGTGTAGGAAATGTATCTCAAGAGACATATTACAGCCCATCTTTTGATACGATGACAGCATATTTTTGACAAGGGTTTTATAGTTGTCAGCTTTCCCAAGAAATTAGTGACCACCAGACGGAAATCATTCCAAGCAGTTTTTTCAATACCTGTTAAAGTGTTTTCAAACTATTTCGAATCTGTGGACCAACAAAAATACCTTCTTTAACCTTTGCCTCACTTAGTCTTGGAAATTTCTGACGCAGGTATTGAAAAGCTGACCCATCTCTATCTAATGCCTTGACAAAGTTTTTCATTAGGCCCAACTTGATATGCAGTGGTGGTAATACAATTTTTTTCGAATCTACTAATGGCATATGCTGTACATTTTTTTGACCTGGCTCTAGGAATTGATGAACAGGCCAGTTTTGTCTGGTGTAATGAAGTGAATTTGCCCGAGTGTCCCATTCACACAAAAAACAGCAAAACTTTGTGTAGTCTAGCTGCAGCCCAAGTAAAAGTGCAACAACTTTCAAATCGCCACAAATATGCCAGTGGTGCTCATCGTATTTTATGCATGTCAATAGGTACTTCATATTGTCATATGATTCTTTCATGTGAACTGCATACCCTACAGGAAGAGGTGGTAAAATATTTCCAATATGCAATAACACTGCCTTTAAACTCAATGTTGAACTGTCTATAAACAATCTCCATTCTTCTGGGTTATAGTTTATATTTAAAGCCGCCAGTAAGCCGTTAATGTTACTGCAGAAAACCAAGTTATTCTCCTTATTGAAAAATGTCTTTGTGGCGTTTACAAAAAATACATACCGAAATATCGTCTTCTAACAAGTTCCACTGCTGCAGTCTTGATCCAAGTAACTCTGCCTTACATTTTGGAAGTTCTAAATCTCTTACAAGATCATTTAATTCTTACTGTGCTATTTTGTGCGGCTGGTGGCATGACGTGCTCGGTATAAAATCAGGATCTCTTGTCGTTGATGGCATATCTTCTTCCTGACGAATCACTCGATCGCCATGATCTGATTCGTTTTCTGATTCGCAAGTGTAGGATTCTGGGGGTTTTGGAATAGGATTTTCGTCACTGTGAGGCACAGGTCTCATCGCAGATGGTATGTTTGGGTAGTTAATAACCGATTTTTTTTTCTTGGACATACCTGTGGCTTGTCCAACACAAGGTACCATGCAAAAGTAACAATCACTAATATGATTTGTAGGCTCTCTCCAAACCATTGGGACAGCAAAGCGCATAGACCGTTTTTTGCCATTTAACCAGCTCCTCAGACTTGAAGCACATGTATTACAGCAGATGTGGGGTGCCCACTGTTTGTCTTGATCACCTAGTTTACAACCGAAATAAAGCTAAGTTATTAGTGGAGTAATAGACCGTCTCTGAGACGCAAAAGTCACATCACCACACATGTAACAAAACTGATTTGGATTGTTTACACACTTTCGAGACATCTTGCATGAACTCTGTCAGCCAACTGAGGAAAAAATGGCTAATATAAAACAATATAATGTACACGTATGTATAACGTAACACAATCATGCCGATTACATCATCTTTCCTTGCCGAATATAAAAATGTAGCACGTGCATTCTTGTGAATTACAGTATATTAACACTGTCACAGCAGGAACACATATAATTACCGTATCTCTAAAACTTGAACTAATATTAAAAAAATTAGTTTCATTCCGGTTTTAGCACATTAAAAATAGTAATATTTTGTTGATTTTATTTAATATATTTTTTGGATGTTGATCAGTGTTTTTTAACAATCAATTACACCTGTCTGATCATAATTTAACCCTGCAAGCTTCCTGTTTAGAAAAAATTTGCAGTCGACTATCCTACAACGTTAGCAAGGCTCGGAATTCAATGTGGGCCTGTAGACGTGTTGTCGGTGTAAGGTGGGGGCTCAAACCCAAAGTGGTATACTGGCTCTACACGACGATAGTACGTCCATCTCTCTTGTACGGCTCCCTGGTCTGGTGGCCCTACATTAGAGCTGAGACAACTAAGGCCAAACTCAATAAAATTCAGCGTTTGGCCTGTATTAGCGTTACAAGCGCAGTGCGAACAACCCCATTGAGTGCAATGGAAGCCCTGTTGGATCTCCCACCGTTGGATCTGGTTATCCGCGGTGAAGCGAGAGTAGTCGCTCATCGACTGTGGAGTCAGGGCAGCTGGGCTTTATTGAATCCTGTCAAGGGGCATACTACTATCTTAGTCAAATTGCAAAGGGAGGACCCCGTCCTTCTAAGCAGGGGTGATCGTATTACCCCTAAATATCGCTTCAACCGCAAGTTTACTGTGGAGTATCCAACGAGGGAGGAGTGGGACGCCGGTAGCCGGAGTCTCTCCGGAGTGGGCGGACAGCTCTGGTACACGGACGGCTCGGTCATCGAAAAGGGCTCAGGTGCTGGGGTATCAGGGCCTAGAACTAGGCTATCTCTGCCTCTCGGTGGATACGCCACTATTTTCCAGGCAGAAATCTTTGCGATTCTGGCTTATGTATTTCGCATTCTGGAGGAGGGTGGGCCTAGGAGAAGAATAACAACCTTATCCGACAGCCAGGCTGCAATGAAGGCACTAAGTGCCTGTAGATTACTTCATTCATCCTACTATCATTGATTCCAACCACTCGAAACGTGGCATCTTCAAACTAACTTTGGTCGATGCTTACCTTCCACATCTTCGGCAAACATGCTGTCAAACAGATGTCGAGTGTCAAGGTACTCGACAAAGCTGACTGAGTGCAACTCTGCGTCGGCCTTTTCTTTCTCGATCAGCGCTATCTTTGCGCTGATTTCTTCCTCGTCTCTTAGCAGATTCCTTAATTCGGTTTCGAATTTCCGTCCACCTGAAAATATGTTTTTCATTGGTCTGTCAAAATCATACCACTTTCGGCGACAATTGCAGTCTATATACAGGGTGTAAAGTTAGTAGTGGATCAATGGAAGTCAGGTGATAGAGAACCACAAAACATATGAACCCCTATATGTGTGGTCCGAAATTATATAGTTCAGGAGATATTTGCACTTTTGTGAAATTTTGAGGGTGATCAAAAACGCAAATTGTAGTTTTTCTCACAAATTTCAAATGCATCACCCTGTTTATTTGTGCAAGTTTGGATTCAATTTTTTATAAGCTTTTCTTTAGACACATAAGAGTTTTTACGGGTATTTTTTCGGTTATTAGCACGTCTTTTATGGAACGGCTTAAATCCATAAAATATCGCATCATCATTATATATATATACAGGGTGTCCCAGAAGTCGACGTCAAGCCGAAACCGCGTGATAGGCAAAGTCATAACAGCTATCAGAAAAATTTTTTAAAAAAATTTTATGTATGTGTTTTGAAAATTATAGGTCTTTGAAAAAAATATAGAAATTTCACACCCTACGGCAGTCTGTCAACTCCTGTTACTGCAAATATTAACTTTTTTTGGATTTTATTTTTACAATGTAATGATGAATAATGCATCTTCAAACTGGTGTCTCAACCTTACTGCCAACTTTTCTCGTTCAGGAAAAATTGCCACTTATTTCCCAACCAAGTATTCCAAAGTAAAACTTTGCTCAACTTTAACTGGCTGTACTGGAAAAAAATGTACTACGAGAGTTTGGCAAGTAACCTTAAAAGTTGGCGCATTTAATAAGGATTCCAAAATGGTATAACACTTAGAAGATTACTCGTTTACTTATGCACAATTTTTATTTGAAGAAAAACTGATTAAAATTTTTCAAAAATACCTAATTAAACAGCGATTATGAAAACGCACAAGGACCCTTAAGGATAACTGTTTGCACAACAGTGGGCGTCAAAATGCTGCTGATGATGATTTACCTTTACCACATACCACATACAGCGTGTTCAACGTCTCCTGCCCCGGGATTATGAGCCCCGATTTGCTTTTTGTCGCACAATGTTAGAAAGACACAGGAAAGATCCACAGTTCTTTGAAAAAATTTTATGGTCGGATGAGACCACATTTAAGAAAGATGGGTACATGAACCTGCATAACTTACACGAGTGGCACGTAGCAAACCCACATTTGATGAGAGAAGATAAATCTCAATATCGCTTCAAGATAAACCATTGGACAGGAATTTTAAATGGTAAAATAATCGGTCCATTTTAGTTCCCAGAGACTTTGACTGCTGAGGTTTATTTAGGTTTTTTGCAAAATCATTTAGAAAATTTATTGGAGGACGTGCCACTGAGTATTTACAGGGACATGTGGTTTCAGCATGATGGCTGCCCAGCGCGCACTATGCACTCTCAGTGAGAGAGTATCTCGATCAAAACTTTCCAGGCAGATGGATAGGGCGGTCTGGTACAATACCGTGGCCAGCCTGGTCACCAGATTTGAATCCGTTAGATTTTTTTTACTGGGGAACTGTGAAAGGGAAAGTGTATTTCAAGCCGATTCAAAATGTAGCTGAGCTACTGCAAAGACTATTGGAAGCAGCTGAGTTTGTTAATAACCGTGGATTCGCTCGTTTAATAACCCGATCTTTTTTAAGAAGATGTCGAGCGTGTATTGCGGCTGAAGGAAAACAGTTTGAGCATTTGCTGTAAAGGTAAATCATCATCAGCAGCATTTTGACGCCCACTGTTGTGCAAACAGTTATCCTTAAGGGTCCTTGTGCGTTTTCATAATCGCTGTTTAATTAGGGAATTTTGAAAAATTTTCATCAGTTTTTCTACAAATAAAAATTGTGCATAAGTTAACGAGTAATTTTCTAAGTGTTATACCATTTTGGAATCGTTATTAAATGCGCCAACTTTTAAGGTTACTTGCCAAACTCTCGTAGTACATTTTTTTCCAGTACAGCCAGTTAAAGTTGAGCAAAGTTTTACTTTGGAATACTTGGTTGGGAAATAAGTGGCAATTTTTCCTGAACGAGAAAAGTTGGCAGTAAGGTTGAGACACCAGATTGAAGATGCATTATTCATCATTACATTGTAAAAATAAAATCCAAAGAAAGTTAATATTTGTAGTAACAGGAGTTGACAGACTGCCGTAGGGTGTGAAATTTCTATGTTTTTTCAAAGACCTATAATTTTCAAAACACATTCATAAAATTTTTTTAAATATTTTTCTGATAGCTCTTATGACTTTGCCTATCACCCGGTTTCGGCTTGACGTCGACTTCTGGGACACCCTGTATAATAAATTGTTGATTAGTTACAAACAAATAAAGTAAGTGAAGACACTACTTTCCTGGATAAGGTTCTTTTTAGCGATGAGACATAGGTGTTGCGACGGAAAACCCTTACACGGTTAGGCAAATATATCTCCAAAATAAATGGAGCTTGAATGTTTGGGGAGGAGCTATTGGCAGACAAGTTATCGGGCCTTTCTTTTTCGACAACAGATTAACAGGTACAGAATGCTTGATTTTTTTATAGAGCGTTTGCCTTTGCTTTTGGAGAATGTCAACTTGCAAACTCAGATGCATATGTACATCCAACATGACGACGCACCTGCGCATTAACATAACCATGTGCGTAACTATTTGGACACCTGGAGTAACAATCGTTGGGTCGGTGAAGATGGGCCTATATCTTGACCTCCTAGATCACCAGATATGACACCGATGTACTTCTATGGGGCTACGTTAAGCAAGAGGTTTATAGATATCCATCATCTATCCCGGAAAATATGAAGGAAAGGATTAAGGATGTTTTTTTGAACATAAGGGAACACATGCTGAGGGATGTGCAACGATCATTTATCCAAAGACTACAGCTGTGTATTCAACATGGTGGAGATATTGTCGAGCAGTTTTTGTACATTAGGTCTTGAGTAGTGATAGTTGTTTGTTTATGTTGTTGTTATACCTATTTGTTTTTCTCTATTACGCTTGAAGCTGATTTATACTGTTGTGATTGTTATTAGTTTTTACGTCAAATCTGTACTTTTAGTGGCAATATGGAATTAGCCCACTCTTTGTCTTTTGTTTCCGTGGATGATGTGATTTTTTTCCTTAATTTTGGTGTGTTGTTCTATTACAAGCTTAATAACTCAAAATCTAGTGATTTTACTTGTATCAAACCTTATACCAAAAAATCTGATAAAAAAATTGAATCCAAACTTGCACAAATATACAGGGAGATGCATTTGAAATATTTGACCACCCTGTATGAGCAAAAATAGAAATTGGAAAAAGTAACAAATCAGATAAAAGCTGAGGTGTGTAAGCTTTTTTTGATACAAAATTCAGTACTCCAAATTTCAAAGTGGACGGTTTTTCTGGACAAAACACCTTACTTTTCAGTAGCTAATTACCAAAACCCCATAGTATGTTACATCAATGTTCTTCTTTTGAATTGGTTTATCCAAATATGCAATAAAATTTGAGGCATTTCATTTAAAAAATCACAACTCTCATGTAGGTCGAAATTGGGACACCCTGTATAATTGCCAATATTTTAGAAATGTGCCCTCAAATGTCGTGTATAACATGCCATAAATAGATTTTCCCAAAATGTATTTGTTTATGAGTAATATTCCGTACACACATGAATGGGCCACTCTGTATATACAGGGTGACTTCGAAGTTGAGTCATTTATTTTAACAGTGAGTAGATCTGATCAAAAGAAATGTTTTTTTCCTTTAACATTTTTCTGGTAAAATTAAAGTAGCAAAGTTATAGCCCTTTAGAAGTTTGAGTACCGCCTGTCTCAATAATAATATTATGTGCTTGTGTTTGGCAACAACGGATATAATCCGCTTTATCGGATCATCGCATCGGAAACAAAAAAGCGAAAAAATTTGAAACGTTTATCACGATGTTTTCAATCGGTAACGCGTGAGTGAATAGTGGTGTTTGTTGCGTGGCTCAAACGAAATAAAAAATGGCACATGTTTACGAAAATGCTGAACTTGTGGACATGGTTCTTATTTACGGGGAGTCTTTACAAAATGCTGCCGCGGCATCACGGATTTGTGCGAATCGGTTTCCCAATCGAGTGCAACCAACCCCTCGTGCCTTTGTTAATATAGTACAAAGGGCTCGTGAATCAGGAGACTTAAGACCTTATTTTCGATTTTTTTTTTGTAGGGGTTGAAAACTCTAGGTTAAGCTGTATGCGGTAAATACGTTACCTTCCTCTCTTTCAGTTTCAAATAACCTTTTATATTCGTAATAAACCACTTTAGGTAAAAACACTGCTATATATATTCTAAAATCTGCTGCTTCGGCACAAGGGTTTTGGGCCATATTGAGTGATGTGAGTTTCTTGAATTTTCTTAAATACAATACATTTTCCCTCTCACGAATTAGATTTTTTCCAATAGTCAAAATCGTCAGATTCTTTAACGTATCCATGTTTTCAATCACTTCTATGAGATTGTCGTATAGACAGAGCTTTTCTAAATTGACCAAAGTTTCTAGGTTTTCTATTTTGGCCACTCTGTTGAACGATAGATCGAGTTCTTTGAGGTTTACTAGCATGTGAATATTTTCGATTTTTTCTATATAGTTGTTGTTAAGTTGTAGTTTGGTTAAAGATTTCATCACCCATAAATGGTCTATTCTGATGATATTCATATATTCGATCCGAATTTCTTGGATTTCCTCCATTGCTATGCCTTCTTCTCTCATGAGTCTACCAACCTCACCTGGAAAATTATAAATTAAAACTAGTTACCTTGAATGCTCAACTTTGTTCCCATCTAGTCGACGCATATTTTTAACCATTTCCGAGATTCCAATAAGAGTCGAATTTGAAGCACCCCGTATATTGTATGTTTACGTAATTATATTGTATCGTCAAGTGCCCTGGGTATACTCTAAAGACGCATTAGTTTGCTTAAAATCTTGCAGGCAGGCATAACCACAGGGTCCAAGGCACCGATCTTTGACACCCTATATCTCAAATAGGAAGCATTTCTGGGATTTGAGCCCATTTGAACATCACAGTATGAAATTTTCATTCAACCTGACCGGTGCTCAAATTACATCAGATTCTTGTCTATAAACGAACTTGAGGAGACTATGTTCTTAAAAATAAACTCACCCTTAGGGTATTGGTAGTCGATACATTTCTGTATGAGCGCATTATCGATGACCCTTGGTTCGCGAGACTTGCACGGATCGGTCAGGGCCATTTTTCATATGAGTTTCGGAGCTTCTTCGGTAGACTACACAACAAATCCTTTCAGGTTGGATTACAGGTCAACGAAGTGACGCGATGTTGTTTGATCGATTGCTTTTGTAGCTTGGTTACTGATCATTAGGGATGGGTAGTTCAGAACAAGGACATTGTGATTGAATTGAAGTATCCTCACACTGTCAGTATTTACCATGGAGCCTAAAGGCTACCAGGAGAACCGCACGGGTATTATGTAAAGAAACCTATAAAACGTCAAAAAGAAAACCTATAAGATGCCATCTTGCAGACTATGTAGTTTTTAGGGTGCAAACAGTGATACCACGTTTGCTCACTAGGATCGTTGTGAACGTCCATCTATGGAGGAATAGCTCAACTACACGCATTGTTGGTTGCATATGTTTTGTGACGCCGAGTACCGAGTAGTCTATACTGAATATGCTGCCAGTGAAGTATATCTATTAGCTGTGCCTTACGGGTTATTTATAGGTTGGCCTTTCTGAAGACAGGTTATGTTCAAAGTTATAAATTACGATTTTACTTTTTTTTGTTTTCAAAACCTTTTGAGGAGAGTTACACGATATTACCATCGCGCCCGCGTTGTGTGTAATCACATCATTTATACGACTTGCAATTCGACAGTGTACAGTGAATATAATTATGTCTCATCTCTCTCATTTTTGAAATTCAGCAAATTTGCATATGAAATTTCAAGAATGGATAAGAAAAAGTGGATGCGCAACTAATTTTAGTTTTGAATCTCAAGTAAGTGTATTTGAGTAAAGAATCCAATGGAATAACGAATTCACAACGTGACCATCAGCTAGTCATATGTTAACATCTTCTAGAAAAACCTACATAATGACACAAAAAAGCAATATAATGTCAAAAAAATCGACGTAATGTCATTTTTTAAGATACGTAATACCCGTGCCGACCAAATGAGAAAAAAAACGCCCCGAAAACTAAATGCCTAGCTGAAGGTCAGTGATCGGAGTGTACCATGAATTTTGGAAACATTTTAATCTTAAACTGACAACCGCTACTAAATTAAATCGTGGAAACTCCCACTAGGTCCCTGAAAGTTAGGTGCAAACTTATAGGTTTTACTTTTGTCTATAGTTATAAATTACACTTTTTGCTGGTTGATTTTCTTAACTTAACGAAAACAATAGCTATTCGTAAAATCTGTATGTTGCCCCCTAGCTATTATAATTAGCTTTTAGGATCTTACACATGATATTGCACGATTTTAGTCTAATATCGGAAGAGAATAGGATTTTAGTATCCCATATTTTGACTAAACTAGTTTCGTTCCATATTTTTTTTTTCTCAAGGCGTTACCTTTTCCAAAACACCTGAAACAAATTCTTGCATATTTAGGTTATTTTTCAATTACTTAAGCCATAGATCTTTAGACATAAGGTTGAGTGTTTCTCCAGTATTTTGGAGAATAGCATTAGTTCCAAACAGTGAACATGTTATTGGTCCCCCTCCTTAAGCAATTCATCACTGCACAAAGGGAGGTTTTTTTCACAATCCTATAAGCAAGAATCGAAAAAGGAGTTTCCAGAATGGTTGCAAAGTACTTTGAAAGAGCGACCAGTATGCACATTGTAGAAGTTGTAATATAGAACTATGCCCTCAAAAAGCATGTTGTGTGCGCGCCCACTACAATAACAGACGTTTTTCATAAAGGTCCTTGATCACAAATATTTATAACAAACATGCTCTGACTAAGACACTACGTGTTAATAAACCGCCATCTCCTTGGTTGGATGAGGGAATGAAAAAGCTTATCAAAGAAAAAGATTCAGCTTTTACCAAATATAAAGCTAGTAAATCACTTGAAGACCTTGATAAATTCAAACAGCTGAGGAATAAGGCACTAAATAAAATTCGAATTAAAAAGAAAGAGCACATACAGAATCTAACTGATCAAAATAATCTAAAAACTTTATGGTCTGGGCTGAATAGGCTTAACATAAAATCTCGTTCAAAACAAACAATACCAGATGAGCTAGCCGATGCAAATAGTATTAACAATTATTTTATGTCAGTTTATAGTTACGACAGTGTCTCAGAAAATGTATGTCGGTTTTATGACAGCGACAAATTGGACAATCGAAATCGCTTTTCTTTGCGAGTTGTCGAGCCGGTGGAAATATTGAAGGCAATCAAAGATATCAAATCAGATGCAAAAGGAATTGACACCCCCTCACTAACCATGGTCAAAGTAAGTCTTCCCGTAACTTTTTTCCATATCACCCACATAATAAACTCATGTTTGGAAAATGGCTACCACCCTAAGCTGTGGAAGCTGGCTCTAATTATACCTGTCCCTAAAATATCTAAACCTACTGAACAACATCTTGGACCCATTAGTTTGTTGCCGGTGCTATCGAAAATTTTGAAAAAATTATACAGCAACACGTTGTCCGTTACATAGAGGAACTTAAAATAATATCGTCATGTCAATCGGGCTTCAGGAAGCACCTTAGTACCACCTCGGCACTGTTAGATCTTTGTGATAATGTGATTAGGGCAGTTGACAAAAAGTTAGCAACAGCAGTGGTATCAATTGACTATTCCAAAGCATTCGATCGAATAAATCATAAACTTTTGTGCGCCAAGCTGAGGTATATAGGCTTCGATGATGCTGCTGTCAGTTTTTTCCGTAGCTATTTGTCCGGTCGCACGCAATGTGTCGCAATCAATAACGATCAATCCAATATTACGACTATTCCGTCAGGAGTTCCGCAAGGCTCAATTTTGGGACCTGTGCTCTTTTTGATTTACACGTGTGACCTGCATAAGGCAGTTGACAATTCAGGGATACAAACATTTGCTGACGATACTCAAATAATATTCCATTTCGACGCCTCAGATACGCAAAATTCATCAGACATTTTACAGCTTGATTTAGATAAGGTACATCAGTTTTCTATGGAACATAATCTTGCTATTAATCCAGATAAGACACACGTGTTATTGTTTTGTTCTGATCAGAAGAGGAAAACTGTCGAAGATTCTTTCCATCTGACTATTGATGGCATAACATTACAGCATACTCAAACAGCCAAGGTACTAGGAGTGGAAATTGACACAAAATTAAGATTCCGCAGCCAAATAGCTAATTTGATGAAAAAAACTTACCTGTGTTCTAGGGCTCTTTATTCCAATCGTTACTTGCTTAACTTTAAGCTGAGAAAAAAACTGTACGAATCTTTGCTGATGTCAATGCTCAGTTACAATACTGTGATGTCGTTTATTATCCATGTTTGGATCAATTGACCAAAAATCGTCTTCAAATCATCCAAAATAACTGCGTTCGCTTTATTTATGGGTTGCGTAAATACGATCACGTAAGTGATAAATATAGGGAATTGAACTAGCTTAGGTTAGGAAGTTTGGTTAAACATAAATTCTTAGTTTTAGTTCATAAAATAATATTGTCATCAAAGCCTGAATATCTAAGGGCTAAGTTAAGATTTAATTACGAAGTGCATGACAGGGCTGTTAGGAATCATTATAGTATCAGAACCACCCCACACACTTCTGCATTATTCCAACGAGGATTTACATATAATGCAGCATTATTTTATAATCAGTTGGACAATTGATGTCTTTGGAAAGTTTTCGTAAACATACTAAAAGCTCGCTGTTGATTAAATAAGCATTTCTGCTACAGATATAGATTGTGTCTATTTGTATTTTATACTTAGGTATATATGTGTTCTTTTTTTCATTGTTCTTATATTTTTTATCCATGTTTTGAACATCAGATGTAACCGACATAAACAGTTAAGTGTAAGAGTAGCCTTGGCTAAACTTCGCTGTTTATGTCCTTCCGGGTTATCCAATAAAGACGTTATTATTATTATTATTATTGTTATTATTATCTTGGGATGGCATTTACCTTATAGCGAATTCAACGACACCATTTACGGATTCTGTTTTTTTTGCCGGTTCGGCAACACTGCAGATGTGCAGATCACTTTAAAAGCAATTGATATCCCAGACGTGTTGTAATAATAGAAATAAGAAGAAAATATAACAATGTTTGGAGGTAAATTTTCATAAATAGGTATTTTTGATTCTGACTTATAATATCTAGACGATGAATAATAAGTGCGGATATTTTTAAATCTCGATGTTTTAGGACCCAGAAATGCAGATGTGCTGTTTGTTTACATTTGGTGTGGATTTCTAGATCATAAATTGGCAAACATTGTTTTTGTTGTAACAAAAGATGATGAACCAGTTGGAATACGTTTTATATCCTCTTTTTTGCAAAATAACAAAAATCGTTCCATTTCTACAGGTACGTATTATGTAGAACACCCTGTACGTGATATACAGACAAAACTAGATTGCCATGCATGAACAGTCGTCAAAAACAGTGAAAACATCCTACTAAATATAATAGCTAGAAAATCGACCTATTATTTCTCTCATTTTCATTGGTCCATTTAAATAACTGACCGTCTTTTCTGGAATGATAAAAATTTTAAATTCTATGAAAGTTATCCTAATTCTAAAGCACAAAGACATAATATTACATCTAAACTCTGGGCGCTGAAGAAAGACATTAAACGTAAACAGTGATCAGCACGTGAACAGATCCCTCGAAAGCATCCACGGATATACTCCAGTCACTTTAGGTCTAAACATCCTCGGCAGTGTATTTCTAGTGAATCCACAGACCCTTTTTCGTGTCATCTTGAGACTAGAAAAAGGATGACTGTTAAAGTAAGTTACCTTGATCTTTCATGAGCTCCCAGTACAAAACATCATCGATATATTTTTGATGTAGGAACAACAAATTGGTTTAGAAAACATCCACTTTGAACCTAAATTGACTGGAGTAACATCGATCTACAGACAAATTCAAGGTCACTAGCAGTCGTCGGCGCTCTACGAATCTGCACAGGTTTGGACTTGTAAACGTGATTGTAGATGACACGACAGGCATCTAACAGTTGATTCACGCACAGGATTGCATTGCATACGCATTACGCATTCAGTAGCGTATACTCGTTTTTCGCGAGTGGAACGTTTTGTTTATATATTGCCTAAGATACGATGTCTGACACAGATACAGCCGACGAAGTGGTTGACATCAGCGCAACCCCACCCAAAAAAGGGCTAAGAAGCTACATTTAAGTGCAAATGAAAAACAAATAATATTAAATATATACAAAAACCAAATTCAAGAAAAACCCGATTTGGTCGTGGAC